CAGGTCCAGGGAAGGAGTTGTTATCAGAGAATCTCTAGCAACCTTCAGAGGCACTGCTCCAAAGGTGCCCGGCTATGTGCCCCTTTTTCTTAGGTTGGGATCAAGGGATCAGGTGGGATTGCTGCTGCTGTACCAGCCTCCCTGCTGCATGGCAGCTTCCCTACCCAGGCTCCTGGATCTCTCCACAGGGCTGGTGGTGGAATTCCCTTGGCTTATAGTTCTAGGGGATTTCAACCTGCCATCTTTGGGGGTGGGGTCACAGGTAGCCCAAGATTTTGTCAGAGCAATGCCTATGTGACCTGGAATTGGTAGACTTGTCGTTGGTTAGATCACAGTCTGGTAGCAATGAGTTTCTCGGGGGCTGTCCCCTCTCAAGGAGACAGGATATATTAGATTGGTCTGCTCTTGTTGACTAATGGACCCTAATGGGTTCCAGAAGGAGCTGGGGGGTTATAACTGCAGATCTGCTATGCAATCCAGCAGAGCTCTTAGTTACTTTTTGGAACAGGAAGGTGATTGAGGCTCTGGATAGGACTGCACCCATGCAACCTCTCCTTACCCATAGACCTCTCTGCCCTCCATGGTATACAGATGAGAGGGATGAAACGGATGAAGAGATGTCTGGAGCGCCACTGGCGGAAGACAAGGGATAAGCTCAATTGAACACGGGCAAGAGCTGCTATTAAGGCCTACCTCATGGTGATTTGTGCGGCAAAGTGTAAATACTTCTCTGCACTAATTGCATCTGTAGATAATCATCCAGCGACCCTCTTTAAGGTGAGCCTCCTTCTCCTGGGGAAGGAGGAGATTGAGGTCCACCTGGAGGGGCGCAGTGAGGGATTTGTGGATTTTCTGGAAGACAAAATCGCTCAACTTCATTCCCAGTTAGATGCTGATGTGGTTACTGATCCAGTGGAAGCCCCTGAGGCAGGTTCTTGCCCTGTTATCTGAGAATGGCTTGACCCTGCCGCTCCTGAGAAAGTGAACAGGATCCTAAGGAGTATGTATGCAAGCACCTGTGTTTTAGATCCATGTCCCTCCTGGTTGGTGAAAGCTTCCTGGGAGGTGACAGGCAGGTGGACTCTGGTAGTGATTGTTTCCCTACAGGAGAGGGTAGTGCCCCAGCACTTTAACCCTCTTCTTAAGAAGCCATCAGTGGATTCCAGCCTGTTGGATAATTTTCGACCTCTCTCCAATCTTCCCATTTTGGGGAAGGTTGTTGAGAAGGTGATTGCGCCAGCAGTTCCAGAGGTTTCTGAATGAAACTGATTATATAGATTCCTACCAGTCAGGTAGGAAATGGCATTGGTCACATTTTTGGATGATCTCTGGCAGGAGCAGGATGGAGATAGTGCATTATCCTTGTTCTACTTGACCTCTTGGCAGCTTTAGATATCATCAACAATGGTATTCTTCTGGAGTGGCTTCAGGAGATGGGAGTGGGAGGCCCTGTGCTATCCTGGTTCACTTCCTTCCTCTGTGGCCACCCTCAATCAGTATTGGTAGGAGGGGACAGTTCCAGCCTTCGCCCACTACTTTGCGGGATTCTGCAGGGCTCGGTACTCTCTCTGCTCCTGTTCAACATTTATATGAAGCTGCTGGGTGAGATCATCCACCATGGACTGAGGTATCATCAATATGCTGATGATACTCAGCTGTATGTCTCAGCCTGTGATGTGTTAAGTGATGCCGTGTCCTCCCTCTTGCCATGCTTGGAGGCTGTTAGGGGCTGGATGGGGAGGAATGGACTGAAACTAAACCCTGGAAAAACTGAGTGGCTCTGGGTTTGAGGTTCTTTGGCCCAGGGAGAATTGCCACCTTTGGTCTTTGGATGAGGTGGCATTACCCCAAACAGACCCTGTGCGTAATCTGGGGGTTCTCCTGAACTTGTGACTCCTGCTCAAGGAGGAGGAGGTGGCAGTCATGGCCAGGAGGGCCTTTACACAACTGTGGGTTGTGCGCCAGTTACGCCCTTTCCTGGACCAATAATCCCTACTCATGGTCACTCATGCTCTAGTCACTTCCCGTCTTGACTATTGCAATGCACTCTACAGGGGGTTACCCTTGAAGAGCATCCGGAAGCTTCATTTGGTGCAATATGCAGCAGCCCACATGGTTTTGTGCAGACCTCGGTGTGCACATGTATCACCTCTCCTGCGGGAGCTGCATTGGTTGCCGATTTGCTTCCAGGTGCAATTCAAGGTGCTGGTTGTCACCTTTAAAGCCCTTCATGGCTTGGGATCAAGTTATCTGAGGGACCGTTTCTTGCTGGTCACATCTACCTGACCCACCAGAGTGGGGAGGCAAGGAATGTTGTGGGTCCCATCCTGTAGGGCAGGTGTCAGCAATCCACAGCTCTGGAGCCATGCACCAACAAGAGCTGGAAGAACACATGTGAGACCCAGCAAGAGATGAGGTACCAGAGAATCAGAATCAGAGAAAGAGAGAAAGAAGAAGGAAGGAAGGAGGAAGAAAGAGGAAGGAAGAAGGGAGGGAGGAGAGAAAGAAATGGGAGAGTGAGAGAGAGTGCAGGATCAAATTTTGGGATGCAAAGAAGTCTTTGAGGGTTGAACGCCAAGAAGCACAGATTTCCTCTGCCTTCTGCATGCTGAATTCTGCATGCTGAATGCCGAAAGGCATGGATTTCCTCCCACCCTGTCCTGAAGTGAACCAAACAGGCCGGGATCACCCTCCCCACTATGCGGCCCCATTGAATCCACTTGGAAACTCCACTGAGCATGGTTCCAAACTTTAGGCTCACAGGTCCCTCCTGGCTCCGCTCCCACTAGCTGTGGTGCCCGCCTCCACTCGGATGGCTGAGCTGGATGGTGTGGTGCCTCCTTTCCCTCTAGGACCAGATGGTGGGTGCCCGCCCCCTGGCCTCTACTCACTTCTCCCTCCATTGTCCAGCCCCCCTTCATCTGGGAGGTGCTGCATTGCTGCCTCACCAGCTGGCAGGGAACACAGTGATGCCGGCAGCTGGATCCTTCCCAGGGCTGAGTGAGGAAACCCTGCTGGGGCTCCCTCCAAGGTGTAGATGCCTCAGGAGCCCCTCAGTGGTGCGTCTGCCTCCTACCTGCATATAGAGGTCGGCCAGCGCCACTGAGGTGCTGGCAGTGGGGAAGGGGTGTGTTGGCCAGAGGTGGGGCTCCGCATCACTTCGTTCCAACTGGAGCAGTTTATTAGCTTGCTGGCTGCCTCTGAGGAGGGGCTGCCCTTGGGCTGCCCAGGTCCTGCCATGGAAGAAGAGAGTGAGAGGGAAGGGTGGGGTGTCCCAACAGGATCCAGGTTGGAGTTGTCTTATTTTGCATGGATCTCCAATGCTTGACTTTGCCTGCCAGCCTTCACTCCGCCTCCACAGCCAAAGTGGTTGGATTCACATGATACATGAAGCTGGGCAGGAGAGCACGGATGGATGGATGGATGGATGATAGATAGATAGATAGATAGATAGATAGATAGATAGATAGATAGAT